GCTTCCTTACTGGAATAGTTTTACAGCTATTAAACTATTTGAAACTGGTAGCTGTAATCCCACTTAAAAGTGAAACAACAGGCAGATTGGGCCTGACTTCCATAACTTCTTTGTTGCTCAAACTGGGAGCAACACAAGAAGCAAAGCGGAGGTGAACAGCAACAATTAAAATGGATTTTAGGCTAACACATTGCTAAAAAAAAAAAATTGGAAGACTATGCAATGGGAAGACATCGATGTAAAAAAATGTAATTCTTCAGTGGGGAGTCCTGTGCTGTCAGCTCTTGGCACTCAAACATTCTGACTTTCCCTTTCAGTGTATGGAGTAACAGTTGTGCAAGTTTCTTCATCTACAGTCAGATAAACAACTGGATTGGACACGGCGAGTAGTAAAATTCGAGTGAGGGTGAAAAGGCAGAGAAAAATCAATAGTCTTCACCTTTATATTAGCAAGATTACGTAGAATGTCCCATCTTTGTACAGTGGTGATTCGTGTTACTGTATGTTTCTTCATACAATTTCATTTCCCCCTTTTATACTCTTTGGTAATAAAATAAACACAGAAATCTTGCCATCAGCCAAAGAAACCTGGCCTGGTACCAAAAATACCTGGAAATATGAAAAAAAAAAAAGTGGTCTGTTTTTCTAGTAGTATTCTTTTTCTGGGCAGTAACTTGTACATGCCGCTAGATGTCCTGTCAGCATCGGCCTTTCTAGTGCACGTAGCTACTCCCCACAGGTTGTAAGAAGGCTATGTAACACAAACATCAGATAGTTTATTCTGGAAAGATAACTCTGATCCAGATATTTTACTGGAATTAATATTTTTAATGTTGTAATTATTATAATTGCGGTCATGGACCACCTGGAAAACCTAGATATTTTTGAGTCCTGAGAAATAGCTGCTTGCAACCACAGCTGTGGCACAGGCTTTCATGCGTTGCTGTACTATCAGGCACTCTAGCTACTTCGGTGGTTAAACAGCATGATGCTTTCCCCTGTTATTCTGAGGATTGGTTCAGCTGAAGAGCCTCTCAGTCTGAAGGTATTTCCTAATAGCAATCAGGGATTTCTCTCTCACAGACTAGAAACTGTCTAAAGATTTTTTTTTTTCACATAACTCTTCACCAACTATTAAGATAATGTAGTAACTGTAAGTTTCCCACTTACCTAGACTAAATAATTTTTAAGTTAGAATTTATAACAGGTTTACTTTGACTATGCATTTTTCTAAGAACTTGTACATTAAAATATGTAAATAGATAAAAGAAATAGGTAAAAGACATAGGTGCATATAAAAGATGCAAACTGGCTGCTGTCTGTAATGAATATGCTATAACAGCAACTCTTATCATTACATTAATATGTTTTACTGTAGCTTCCAGAGAAGATTTGCCTTGCTCTAAATGTGCCGTTCCTAGAAAGTACAGCTAGTCTCAGCTGTGGTTAAACATATTTAGCCTGGATATGTTTTTCTTTTACTCCTTCATTGTACACAAACATCTAATTAGAACCCTTCACAGATTTTTTTTTTTCCTTTTTTTTTTTTTTTTGAAGTTTATCGTGGGCAACTATTGGCATTGTATCAAAAGAATCAGCAATGTCAGAAAAATCTTGGCATAGGGACAGCCTACAGATACACCTCAGTACAGAGTGACACAGATTAAGTGTCCCTTTGTTAACTTACTCAATGAGTTGATGTATGGGCACATCACAGAGTAGCAAGGGCTGGCTGTTCCCCGAGGGACACGGAGTTGGGAGATGAGCAGGATAACACAGACAACAGGGCAGGAATCTCACCATTCATGGTCTGGTCCTGCAGTCCCCGAGCGAGGTGAGCAGAGCAGGCCCAGGGATGGCAGCTGGGAGCCACCAAGAGTCCAGGGCATCAGGCGAGCTCATAGCAATGAGTCAGGGGCAAGGCTGAGTTGAGAAATCAATCCACAGTTCAGAGGATGATAATCAAGGTCAGACATGGTCTAGCAGTGCCTGAACAGGTCCACAGTGATGAGGCAGGTCTGAGATAAGACCAGATGCAAGACAGGCTCCACAGCAACAGCATCTGTAGCCAGCCATAGTTATGGCTGAACCACAGAGCAGCACCTCTCCAACATTGCTTAAACAGACTGATTGCTCGGGAAGAAGCTTAAATGGAGCTCCTCTAATCCATGGAGAGAGGGTGTGAGAGGCCACAGGTGAGGCAGCTCAGGGCCATTAAAGTTTATAAGGCCTTAATTAGGCCCCTCTGGGCCCTGATAGGGCATTTAAAGAGAACCAAGGTGCCCTGCTGTGTGTCTGAGTGATCTGTGTAGTGTTGTAATAGCAGAAAGGAAACAGCTGTGATGGCCTTAGGGAAAGGTGTGTCCTCTTCCTTTCCTGGTGCAGTTTTAGTCCCAGTGTATGAGAGGTTGTAAGCAACATATCTGTTCCTTGTCTTGGATGTGGATGATCTGGGTAGAATTATAAAAATGGAAGGGAAGCAGCTGTAAGGGTGATAACTCTAGGGGGGAAAGGTGGGTCCTCTTCCTGGAAGCTGGGAATGCTTGTATGTGTTCTGAAAGTTGTGATTTTTCTTTCTTTGAATGAGTAAACAAACCCAGAGAAAAGGGTCTAGATTGAACTGTAGTTTAGGTATTTATTTTATCTTTAAATACCTTCTGAATCATTCAGCAGCTAATCTAGCTGTTTTCAAGCAGGATTGGGGTTTCATAAACAAAGTCTCCTGGCCCTCCAAAAAGGGAATTACTTTTACTTAGGTTTAGTATCTACCTCTGAGAGCCTTCTACATTGTAGCAACAGCAGAGGTAAACACAGAATTTAGAGGAATAGGCCCATACGTGGGTAACAGCCCTGCATGGTCTTGTTCTCAGCACAGCTGAAAGGAAACTCCCATCAGTTTCTGTGTTGCTCAGATTTGCATTGTGTGAATTAAGTAATGAAGTGATAGATAATATAATTTCTAAATGGCATTTTGAATTATTCTTTTGAGGCTGGGACCTACTGAGCTTCCCAGCATTGTACTTCACCATAAAGGGCTCTTAATGCTCCCATCATTGTTAATTACCTTAGTAATTAGGGACCAACCAAGCTGCAGGCCCTGCTGTTTTGGGCATTGTACAACTGAAAGTAATAACCTAAGTGGTAGTCCCTGTCTTGAAGAGTTTCAGGTTGAATAATAAAGACAATTAAATATAGGAAAAAGTCCTCTCCCAGAAATACCCAAAATTAGTTTTATTCAGTGATTGTCTTCAATCTCTGTCCATACAAATTTTGCTAACTCTTCACAGGTTTTGGCATGGTTGATTCTAATGTACCATCATAATACAAAACTTGCATTTCTGGCGTTTATCTTTCTGTAACTGGTTGAGCATTTCTATCTTTCACTGTGGACAGGTTTCCCTGCCCGTGCTGGTGTAACTGGTTTGCCTTGTTCCCCTCCCAGCTCTTTGTGCAAAAGGAAATTCCGCAGCAAACTTAACTCAGATGATACTAGTGCTGTGTTTAGTCTCTGTACATTCTTTTTACTTAAGTATTTATGGATTAAGCTCGCAAAAAGTCATGATGCAACTATGTTGATGAGTTTTGCAATGCGTTCTGGGTGGACACAGGTCGAAGGACAGTGGGCTTTGGTGCTCCTTCTCTGAGCGTCTGTGGAAGCACAGACCCTTGGAAGATTGTGGTTGTGCTTCTGGCAGCATGGCAGGCTCAGATATTTAAATGCATTGGCAGTAGTAGGAAGAAGTACTGTATAAAATGAGCTGAGCAGCGTGTTTCTTAGTTGTTATGAAGTCATTCAAACTAGTAACTTTTAATGATGAACAAAAGTATGGCCTGTTCTCTGTCTCCCTTCAAAGACACCTGTGTGAGGTGAGCAGCATTCTACTCTTTTGTTCAAATCAATTGAACTAGGATAAAAATAAATGCGATTCAGTTATTAACATAACACTTGTCTTCATTGTTATTTTAAATGTTGGAATTGCTTAATAAGTTATTATTTTCTTGTTCTTTCTCACGTATGTTAATAGCCAAGCATCAAAGAAGTGCATTAATCTAAAAGAATGCTTGTAGCAGCTGATCAATTTTTATCTTCTGACATCAAAGGGATCCCCACCCTCTATAAGCAGATACCTTTTTCCTCATGTGAACAGATGTGCTTCCCTTTTTTTTCCCCCATGTTCATCTTTCATGAAAGGTTGCAACAATAAATATATCTGCGTAAAGCTCTTTTTACATTTCTTGTGGCTGAAAAACAGAAATGTAAAATCAGATTGATGCAGCTCAAATAAATGCTGTTACAGAGGAAGACGAGCACAAAATAAATCTACCTGGCAAGGAAATGAGCCATTTTTTGCAAGGCATGCGTAATTGCTAAAATAACCCACGTTTCTGCAAAGGCAGATTATTTGGTTATGTTTCTGTTTGCTCGTTGAGCATGTTGGTGACAGACAGTGGTCTTAATATGCCTGGATTTGGGTTGGGTTTTGGGTGTGTGTATATATAGGGATATATGTATAGGGTAGGTGAGTTTGAAGAAGTCAGCCCTTGCAGTGTGGGTGTCCTTCTCTAGGGCGGTTGCCCCACTTCCAAATGGTCAAAATAGGAACACTGGCTTAAAAATAAAGAAATTTTAAAAATATTACATAGACCAAAAACAAACCAACCAAACAAAAAGAAGCCTGCCTCACCTCGCTCGGGTGAGAAAGACGGGACACCTGCGGAGGGGGGGGGCGGAATCACGGCCAGCGCTGGCCGCCGGGAGGGGCCCGTCCACTTCGCCCCGCCGGGCGGGGAGAGGCGGGTGGTGTGCGTGGGGTGCCGAATCACGGCCAGCGCTGCCCTCCGGGACGGGACCGGCCGGAGCGCTGCCGCCGCGCCGCCATCCCGCGTGGGGACCGCGGGGTCCCGGAGACCGCGCCTGCGCACTCCCACACCCACCCCCCCGCCTCTGTGCCGCGGCCGCGCCTGCGCAGTACGCCGGAGCTGTCAATCGCTCCCCCCCCTCCGCCCCGCTCCGCCACCGCCTCCCCGCGCGGCGCCGCTCGGGCCATTTTGCGGCGCGATGAGGCGGGAGCGGCGGTGAGCAGCGCTCGGCCCCGTCCCGCTCTTCTCCGCACCCCCCCCCCCTCCCTTCCCTCCCCTCCTCCTCGGTTCGCCCCGCCGGGACCCGGCCCTCCGTGTGCGGGGAGCGAAGGGGAAGGATAAACCCAAGGGGGACGAGAGACAGACCCCCCCCGCCCGCCCCTCAGCGCCGGCCCTCGGCGGCGCGGCGGAGCCATGAGCTGGGGCACGGAGCTGTGGGTGAGTGAGGGACGGGGAAGGGGGGGGGAGGCGGCGGGGCCGCCGTTGCGGTGGTTACCGCGGAGCGCCGCGCCCGCTCCGTGTCATAACGGTCCGTCCGGAGGGGCCGGCGGCGGGGGGGGGAGGGCTGCCCGGGGGCCGCTCTCTCCGGGGAGGCACCGGGGGGGGGGGGGGGGGGGGGGGGGGGGTTCCCCTGCCTTCTCCCAACTTTTACGCGTAGCCTCCGCGGGGAAATCCCAGCGGACGCTTGGTCTCTTTATTTGCTTCGTTAAAATAAAATAAAGCTCAACAGCACCCGTGGTTCCGGAGCGGGGGGAAGGTTTTCAGGCGAAGAGCGGGGTGGGTGTTGCGTGTGGCTTTTGCAGGAGGCTGGAGAGGCTCCGGGGTGGGTTTATATACAAGGGGGTCCAATTTCAGGAGAGGGAGCTGCAGGGAAGAAAAACCAGATGATAAAATTTCCTTTCGCTGCTGTTAAGGGGTTTCTCACTACGGTTGTTTTGAAGGACGGAGGTTTTTCTTTAAAGAGTTTTCTGTTGAGTGTAAATAAGTACGTTTTAATGCTGGGCAGGGTTTCGGTGTATAAAGCCTCCTTGATTGTTTCTGAAGTGAGCCTGGAAACTATAAATGCATTTGGTTTACGATGGAGTATTACTGCAAAATAGCAAACTGTTAAGAGGAATGAGAAGTGGATAATAACGATTTCAAATGGTCCCTTGCTAATCTGGGAAAATAAGGGTAGGCAGATAAAAGAAGTCTTGAAAGGCAAAAGAGATATACATATTCAGTCACAAAGAGGACATGATGCAGCCATGTTTGGCAGCGTGATGGTGGAGCATGGAGCAAACCTGTTATTGAGGGCTTGTAGGAGTGGACAGGAGACTGCAAGTGGTTAATTTAATGGTGGAACATTAAACATCTTTGGACAAATCTGTGCTCGGGGGAGACGGAGGGGAGAGAGGAAGACGGAAATGGTGTTTGAATGGAGAAGTCAAGAATGAGTGGCAGAGGGTCATCTAGATTGCAAAGCACTGCAGGTTTTTGCTCCTCTGTTCATCTGTTTGTGGCTAGTAACCAGTGCGCGTTAAGATGTAAACATATCTAAGCATTTAAACTATCCTTGTATAGAAATAGTTATTTCAGATGTGCTAATTGCTGTCATTTCTGGATACATTACTGGCCTGATCTGGCAGTTTAAGTAAGCATCCCATTTTGCTGTGACATTGTAGTCACGTTATAGCTAGATCTAGTTAGAACTGGGCAGTAAATTAGGGAGTAAATGCTTACTGAGAGGTATTGTTGTATGTTTGTATATTCCAGAGAAAGAAAGGTGATACATACTGATGAAATAATTGTAGCGATGCTGTATTGATTCATCAATATATAAACAGCTCTGCTGCATGGGAATGTTTCTGGGAAAATGCAGTTGCCTTCTTTTTCTATGTCTTGGATGCTTTGAAAGGAGATGAAATAGTTTGAATGGAATTAAAGTAGGAATCAGAATAACAATTTTGACACAGAAAAATAGATTGAGTTCTTGAGATGGACTCAGTTATTTTTGCATTTTTAATGTGCAAGCGATACTGAGATGTTTCTGCACAAGAACAGTAGTAGTAGAGTAGTGCTTAGAAATAGTTATTTCTGTTCTATGTAATTTTGCAGGTGTGTTCAGTCACATATTTGTTTTCTGTAACAGTTACAAGCTGCTTTTGTAACATTTTTTTCTCCCCTGAAAATTTTTTGGTGAAAGTATTGTTTTCAGCAGCATCGAAGTGTTATTTTTTTCATGTCTTCAATGTAGTACTTTGAGAAGTGTAGCAGGTTACTGAGAAAAAGAGTTGGACCAACAGGTTAACTGATTCTAGATACAAAATTGGCAGAAATTGCTTTATTTTAAATTGGGCAGAGCTTTAAGAACGAATTAGTTTCTAGAGCGCTGGGTATTTAGGCCAAAACACTGATTTCTCTGCATGTTCTCCCTTCCCCTGGGAAGGGAAACTGCACAAACAACCAGTATTTAATATATGCTACCTCCTTCTGTTGATCAAGGCATGTTTGTTTGTTTGTTTGTTTTAAAAAAAAGTAAATTTCCATTTACCTTAGACCTTAGTATTTGTTTTAAGTAGTAAGCCAATGAGTATTTAGGAACAGGTGGTGTAAGCAGCAAATGCCTGTTTTATGATGTGACTGGTATATGATTTGATGGACTGAAAAGTTGAGGCAGTAACAAGTATATCCAACTGTTGTTTAGAAATTTGAAATTTGCTAAAAAGATTAGTGTTGTTTGGTCAGACTTGACTGGCACCCTGTATCTCTGATGTGCTGATCTACCAGGCTGGATGCGTGTTTGTGATTCACCCCTTTAAATGTAGCAAGGGAGAAGTAAAATAGAGGTTGATATTTAGAGCATGTAGAATGTTCATGTGCATCGATATATGTAAAATTTCTGTTCATTCCTGGGAAGAAAAAAAAAAAAAAGCTGGTTGCAGAAAGTCTCATACTTAAGAAGCAGTAAAATCCCTTCAGCAACACATAAGTTATTCCCAAGACAGGCTTTAGCCTCGTACTGGGATGTGAGTGTATTCTGTGCCTCTGGCTTGCAAATCCTATTGCAAAGTTGTTACTGTGATTTCACTGGAATCTCAACTTCTGAGTTTAACCTCAAGATTGGCCCTGTAAGTGTGAACGGACCCATAACCAGCAGAATAGTAGAGGTACTAATGCAGCATTTGTATCATGTGTGAGGCTAAATGCTTGGGATAATGAGATCATCTGGGGCCTCCAAGCAATCCAGCGTTACAGAGCAAAACCTGAAGGTCTCATGTAACCATCTGTGAGTTTCCTGTGTGTAAGCACGCTGTGCAGGGCGGCAGCGGCTGCTCTGAGTGCTGTGCCGTTTGTCACTCTGCCCAGCCCCTGCAGAAATCTTTCTGCCCATTACACTAAAAACATTCAGGAGCTGGAGAGAGAAGCCGTGAATGAGGGACAAAGTACAGTCGTAGGACCAAACCAGTTTTGTTTTCACTGCAGTTCGAGTAGTATTAAGGGCTAACAGGTGGGAGGGTGTAGAAGATAATTCTTGAAATTGGCAGTGTTTTCTAAATACTTAGCTAATGTAAGTGGCAAGTAAAGATCATGTGTACCACTGTACAGACCCAGCTTGTACCTTCAGTCAACTATGATTTGGGGACAGTAGGCTGTAAAAGCATACTTGAATCTCTTTCACCCTTTTCCTCTTGGGTAATGGGGAAGAACATAGAGCATGGGAAGAACATACAGCTATTTTGAAGGGTGTTTCAGCAAGTAAAATGTTAGTGTGGGCTATGCTTCCCACCAGTGTCCTTTTGTGTGGTCTGAAGCTCTTGAAGCAGGCGGTAGGAATTACATAGCAAATTGAGCTAAAACTAACCTCAGCACTTCAGTCCTTGTCTTTTGAGTGGAAAAGGCTGTGGCTGCATGGTTGGTGTATTGAAGGGAATGAACTTGCTTTATGGTGAGTTTTGGTACAGTATGTAGTTTGGGGGAGCTACATGTAAATTTGTGGTTAAGTGGTCCAGGAAAAATTGTCTCTTCGGAACACTGTCACACCGCACGGCAAGTGGTTAAGTGATTAAATGTGTGAAGATTCATCTTTTTGTTATGAATTTTTCACAGGTGCAGATACTGGGGTTTGTTGTATTTTTTCCACATTCAGTGTAAAATTAAAAAAAACTGGGGAGGAAGGTGATCTAATAAGTTTTTCTTTGACCTTTGTGAAAATCTGGGTGTCTGCTAAGAGCTGTCTGTCCTTTCAGCCTGTGAGAAGGTGAATATTTTATATTTCCAAAGGACTTAATTTGCCATCCTTACGCAAGGGGTGTAAGTTTGTTGGCCAACCCTCATGAGACTGGTACTTTGGGGACAGCGCCTTTTGTTTGTAGTGTATTCCAGTATGCTTTAATATGAAAAAAATACAATTTGTGGATATGGTTATTTTTGCCATATAAAGTTAATTCCACTTATAAATGTGAATTGTCTCTAAACCTGTTATGATTTAGGAAATTACTATTTTCAGTAATAGTAATTTCTTAATTCACAGTATTAAAGCAAGTGGGAATCTTGTAGACCATGTTCTCTTAACTACCTCCTCCTTGTCAGACGGTGAAACGTAGGTGCAACTCTGAGAACCTGAAGGCCCCACTTGCTATCTGTAACTGATAAATCATTTCCTCTTTCAGTACTTTGGTCTCTATTTCATCAGCAGAATTTGTATTTAAACAGCTGTAATCTTGCATTTCTTAAATTTGCTTGACTGCAGGACTGTTCTTCAATAGCATGTATAATGTATGGGTGTTGCACATCATGGTGACTCACATTTGGAAACTGTCTGGAGTACGTGCTTTTGACCTTGGTGGCATTACATAGTGGTGTTATCTGGGAACAGTAGTCAAATGTGATCTTAGATGAGGGCTCTGTTCTTGTCAGCTTGTCCCCTGTAAGAGGATCTGCAGAGCTGGATCTAGGTTTGATGTATTGATTCTTTTCTTAAGCCAACATTTAGTTTTAGTGTATGCATCACTGTAGTTGGTTGCATACAATAGAAATCTGGGAGTGTGTCATCCCACCCATCCCATTCTCACCCCTTACCCCCTGCCAATTCTTTGTTTTTGTGTGTTAACTGTTACTCTCCAAGACTGAAAGGAAAAGGAGCTGGTTTCTATTGGTACAAGGACACAGATAAGTATTTAGTCTGGCCTGTTAAATGATAAGTTAACTCTGATGAGTTGAGAGTTTCCTTTATATCAGGTAATGGGCCTAGACCTCAAAGGTGGTGGGTGAATTGTTTGCAGGTTAGAAAATCTTCTGTAGTGATGGCAAATGCTCTTCTGCATCATTCGGACAACTCAATAGAGGCAGAGCTATGTATCCCTGACCCCTTTCTCTTTGTATTTAGTAGAATCTTGCTTTCTATTTAGTAACTTGTTAAAACTTCTGTGTATTTCAAAGAGGCTGGAATTTCACTG